CATTCATGCATTTTCTAATGTGAATACTATTTCTTTGCATCTTTTAATTAAAATAAAGAATACCTTACACACTATTAAAGGTGGAAATAGGCTAGGATAGACTAGGCTTTATAAGACATGAATTTCGCCTACGACAAAATTACAAGGCTGAGTCTGACCTATGACCTATTATAAGCTCATTTTTTGAGTCTAACCTGATCTTTTTAAAAATCTAGTGTGGTCTGAAAGCTTATTTAAAAGTTTATTTCTAACTAAGATTTTCAATAAATTCATATTACTTAAGAAGTTTTATATATGATTTTACTCCCTGTAAATTAAAAAAAAAAAATAGCCTTACCATTTCAAAATACTAACAATTTAGTCTCTGAAGTCAAAATTCGCAGGTAAATCTGCAGTTTTTCTGCAGATTTTCTTTCGGATTTACCTACAGATTTTGACTTTAGAGACTAAATTGTTAGTATTTTAAAATGACAAAGGTGTTTTTTTAAAGAAAAAATATACAGAGGACAAAACCAGAAGTCGCCTATATGGCAGAGAGTAAAATGGTAATAACCCTTATATATATATATATATATATATATATATATATATATATATATATATATATATATATATATATATATATATATATATATATATATATATATATATATATATATATATATATATATATATATATATATATATATATATATATATATATATATATATATATATATATATATATATATATATATGGCAATCTATTTAACATTTTTTTAATATATATGTCCGTCTATTTAATTTTTTTCTTCTAATATATACATATATAAATCAACATATTTAGATTATTTTTAATATATATAAAAATATAGGTCGATTTATAAGACTTCATAAACTTTTTTAATAGCCTAAGTCTGATCTATTTAATTAAATAGATTTCTAAAAAAGTTTAAACCTAATATAACATATTTTAGATTCAAGATATAACATATTTTCTGACAGAAAAATATATGTGTAAATAGATTAAATAATATTATAGATTTTTAAAAAAATTCATTTTCTATTTTTGCTTTTGAAACATTTTTTAGAAATATATTGAACATGTTCAATCATCGTTTTTATTTTTATTATTTTTATTTAATATTTTATCTTTATTAATAAATAATCATAAATACTACCAAATAATATATATCTTATATAAATTTAATGTAATCAATGTGTAATAAATTATGGCTCAACCAAAATAAATTATTAAGTTGAATATCAATATTAAAATTTAAACTTTTACTTTAGCGATTAAATACGTAAGTTTTTCCATAAAAAAATTAAATATGTTTGTGATCTTTTTTAATATTCTAAATTTTGTTTTTTATTTTTTAAAATAATTTTTTTTTAAAAATAATTATTTTAAAAAATTTCATCCATATTATTATCTCTCTTATAATTTAACAATAATTTTAACGATAATTATTATTTAGCAATTAAATTATCCACAATTTTAACGATGTTTTTAATATTAATAATAAAATATAAATAGAAAATTTTAAAAGAACTATCTTTAAAAAAAATATTTTGAGAAACTAAAAATAAATTAAAAATATTTAAAAGGATGAGAAATATATTTAATTAAAAAGAATTAAGTATAAAGGTGTGTAATTGGTAGCATTATTGTAGTTAAAAATGGGTAGAGGCAAGAAAGAGGAAACAACATAGAGGAAGAATGCAATAAGGTGCACGTGGTACGGTTGCGAGTCGCAAAAAGCAAGATTGTACGATTGAAATGAGTCAAGCCCCATACACGTGTGGTAGTATCCAGATTCCTCACTATCAAGTAGCACAAATCTCGAAGGCAAGGGTCAAGGCTTAAATGACCCTAAATCTGTGGGTCCAAATAACCCACTATTTTTGCAATTATCTTTTTTTTTTAATTTCAATTCCATCTTTACCCTTCACCATACTGTCGGTGACACTGATAAGGAACACAATGTTGGTTTACTAACTGGTTTATATATGATTTTACATCATATTATTTTTATTGAAGAAAATCTTTTTAGAATAAATAAAGCCTACATAAAGAATTATAAATAAATTAAAAATCTTCACATTGAATGTGAAAAATGAATTCATTTCATATCAATCAATTTATAGTGTGTTTAAGTTGGTGGTAGATGAAATTAATTTTATCAGAATTGAATTTAGTAAAATTGATTTATATTTAAATATATTTATGTAAAAATGAATTAAATAATAAATTTTAATGTAAAAATTATTTAGAATCAATTCTGAGATAGAAGCTACAAATTATAACTTCAACTAGAATCAATTCTAGAGACAAAATCAATCCTACTTTTACTTAACTAAACATCTTAAAATAACTAGAATCCATTCTATATTTCTAAAATTGTTTTTGACCATTTCAAAAACCAAATCAAACATATACTTATTCTATTTTTATTGACATTTTACATCAGATTTTAATGATTAAAAAAATAATTTAATCGAATTACAGTTTTTTCAAACTCTAAACCAACACTACAATAAATATTATCAATAGTCAGAATTGATTGATTACAGGAGTAGGTTGATGCCAGAGTAGTTAAATGTTGGTGTTTGGGGTGACAAAATAAGGTTTTTGGATGACTTAGGGCAAGAAGAAGAAGCTATCGAAAATGGTTGTTCGCAAGGTGGTTTAGGATGTGCACATTTGAAAACCCCTCTTGACCAATTTCGGATGTGCACATGCGAATTCTTGTCTGAGTTGATTTTTTTTAAACCAACATATTAACCATTATCATTTTTTAAGAAAATGACCGGCAACCAGGACCCGAATAATCGATTGAGACAATGCAGTCCAAGTCAGACTGCATCTTCTCGGTGTGAGAGAGCTGAGAAGTAGGTTAATAGGCCTCGATGACGGGGTCGAGTACGATAGGAGAAAGTGCTTGGATGTTCCACTTATGCACCGAGGAGTCGCTTGTCTCAGGCGTCATGCTCTCGTCCACATGAGAAGATACCTGATAGGATGAGGTACCCCAGTAGATTGAGGTACCCGAGCAGGTTGAGGTACCCGAGGAGGCAAACCTCGGCTATTCAAGAGGGCCTTCTGACACCTCTCTCTTGATCTACTATAATGATCATGTTGCTCGGCATGTTTGGGATGGAAAGGTATATTTTGGGTGCAGTTATTTCTTTTAAAAGTTTACTCACAAATATTATTTTAACGGTTATTATTTTTTTTTGTTACAGGAAGGCCCATTAAGTCCTTGAACCACTCATGGAAAATCTTTGAATTATTTATACCTACGGCGGCTTAATTCAATGAGACTGTTGTTGGATCCGGACTTGCCTGACTATGTGGTACTGGTTATGTTACTATAAGCCACGACATGCATGGTGCATTTGTCGAGAGGTGACACAAGGAGACGTCTTCTTTCAACTTTCCTGTTGGGGAGATGACGATCTCAATTGATGGCGTGGCTTGTTTGCTCCATCTATCTATCAGAGGGAGGTTACTTAACCATCACAAAGTACCACGAGCTGAGGTGATTGAATGGATGGTTGAGTACCTGAGATTTGATCCATTTCAGGCCGCTGAAGATCGCAATTTGACTTTGTGCAGATGATACCGAGATCTCTATTTTTGGCTGCTCCTGATACCTTGTCTGTCAAGAACTCGATGACATCTTCCAGGATTGGGAGAATCATTTGGTACCACAAGAGTATCGAATGATGCCGACATATTACAGTAGCCTATGTTATGTTTTGTTTTTTTACCGATATAATATTTTGATATTACACACTTTCTTAACAACTTAGGTATTACATTATGTTTTCCTATTTCTGAACATCTAATTTAATTGTTATGTTCGCTTCATTTTTTGTCCAAATTGTATCATTTTATGTTTGTCCATTTGTCTGTTTATTAAGTAGTGGTAATAATGATGTTTTAAACAAAAATGACACAAACATACAATGTTTTGGATATGCATATCCGAAACATCTGTTGACATATTCGCAGGTGGTTTCTGATATTAATATCTGAAACTACATCTAGAATTTTAAATCCAACGTTTAAGTATTAAAACGTGAAAAAGGGTAACTTCAGGTATGCATATCGGAAATATGTTGAAATGTGTGTTTGGATATGCACATCCGAATGATATTTTTGATTTTTCAGAGGTTTAACTCAACATATCAGGTGAAAAAAAAATCTCCATTTTTATTGTGACAACCATGACTCTGATATTATCTTAGAATTTAAGTTGAATTTAACTCATCCTTCCAAACCGACTTCTAAAATAAAAATCACAACTACTTATAAACACACTACATATTATCTAATACGTGACTCATAACTCAATTCAACACTATTAAACTTAACATATTAATATAAATGATAAGTAGATTATAATAAATGAACTGATAGTAGAAACCTAAAAGATAGCCCAACAAATCTTAAATTTAACTCTGACATATAACTTTGATATTAAGTAGCATGATTGAGTTTAAGAAAAGAGAGAAATAAAATAAAAAAATTATTAACTTATTTTGTATTGATTCAATGATTAAATATTTATTACAATGAATAAATCATAGATTTTAAATAACTATCACAATCAACTAATAAATCATAACTAAATTAAAAAAAAAACTAATTAACTAAATATATCAAACCTAAAATAACAACTCACTCATCCAATAAAAAATGTTAGCGACAATTTCTCCTGTAAACTTTCACTGAAACCCACTAAATAATTTTCTTAATCACAAAAAGACAAACCCAAATATTTTTCCTCCCTTCTCTTATTTTTTACATGCAAATACCTTAGCTGGCAATTTTTGTACTTTGCCTAGACAATCAATATCTTTATAACCATTCAACCTTCCACTCACCTTCCATATGTCAAAAACCAATTTCATTTCCCTCTTTCTTTATTCATCTCTTCAAACACCAAAACTTCATTATATATATAAATGCCATTTCCATAACTCTTGTACACAAACTCACTACTTCAAACATGGCTTCTTCTTCTTCTCTCACAATCTCCCCAAGAAAGCTTCATTCAGATTTATACTCCTTTTCACACCAACAAGATTCTACCACTCCATTAGTCATAAACGTTCTTGCTTCATTAATTGAGAGAAACATGGCTAGAACTAAGAGAATTGTGAAAAATTGTTCCATGTCTTTGTCTAAGGCTATTAGTACAAACATCTTTGATTGTAGAGAGATCCCAGATTTGTCAATTCAATCTTATTTAGAGAGAATTTTTAGGTACACTAAAGCGGGATCTTCGGTTTATGTTGTGGCTTATGTTTATATTGATAGGTTTTGTCAGATCAATCCTGGATTTAGAATCAATGCTAGAAATGTTCATAGACTTCTCATTACAACTATCATGGTGGCTTCCAAATATGTTGAAGACTTGTGAGTTTTCTTCTCCTTTTTTATCTTTTATTTACTCGTTAAAATTTCATCATTCAAAGATAAATAAATAAAATATCACGATAAATGTCTATCAGTATACATCAATTTATCTGAATTCGGTTCTTATTTTTATTGTGTTTTTAAATTTCTAACATTTAAATAATTTAAAAATAGGAGACTAGAAAATTATTGTTACTGCAACTTAAAATGATATAATAACTAATTTAACAATATATCTGAGAATTAATTATGTCTATTACCAAAGGGTTGACAGCTCATGAGTAAAAAAAAGTTTGTTAGTTGAGAGGAAGTTTGGTTATGTCAATCTCAGTCATTGATACTACTTGCTAACAACTTAAGAAAGGGACTATTTTTAAAGAAAATCAAGAGTAAGTATTACATTTGAAAAAAAAACTATTTTTTATTTTCTGATTTTATTTTGATGTACAATATTATATATATATTTTAAAAAATTTGTACATGAAATATGAAAAAAATGTGGTTACAAATCAATAAAATATTAACCAGATAAGAAAAATCTCTTTCGATTTAATCAGAAATCTTGGATTCGAATTCAATTCTGAATTGGATAAAAAAAATTGGACATGGATCTAAGAGATAAAGTACTAATAGAGACAATTTGTTTGGTTTGATGACAGGAACTATAGAAATTCATACTTTGGAAGAGTTGGTGGATTAACAACTATTGAGCTAAACAAATTGGAGCTTGAATTTCTGTTCATGATGGGTTTCAAATTACATGTAAATGTGAGTGTTTTTGAGAGTTATTGTTGTCATTTAGAGAGAGAAGTTGGAATAGGGGGAGGGTACCATATTGAGAAGACACTAAGGTGTGCAGAAGAAATTAAAGCAAGACATAGAAAAGAAATTAGAGGTTACACACAGATTCCTCGTGTCATGTTGTAATTTAACTAATGATTATTAAATCTGTTTTACTATGTTGTTGGATATTAAATTTAGACACATTTCTAGGAGGTTATTTCAATCTTAGATTGTCTATAATGTAAGAGATTTTGTGTATATTTTAATATGTAAAAGCTTGCAAGTAAAAAAAGGTAACAATGATTTATCATGATTCTAAAAACTTCAATGTATGTCCAAACATGCACTTCTCTTGCCGTGTCCAACTTGTGGGTACTTTTGTTGGGTTTCTTTTATCCCTCCTTAAATTTGTTATGTTTTGGTACTTCGAACATATGTTTTCCAAAGATTTGTGAGTATTTTTCTTTTTTTCTTCTTCTTATCAATGTATGAATGTACCATTTTATTATGCTTGATTTTACATTAATATAAGAGAGATCGTTAATACTTAATATATTATGTTCTTGGCCACCATAGAAGGTTCAATAAAAGATTAAACATCGAACGTTATTGAAGGCTACATGCAAGAAATAAGGACATTTGTACACTCAAGAACAAATAATTTTAGCTCTGAGTTCATCACATATCTTACAGATTAATAAGACAATTCTCAATAATGATATGTTGCATTCTACATGAAGCAGTTATAACCGCATTTTTATATAAAGAGAGAATGCGTCATTTTACAGATAATTCAAATTCATCTTCATTACTCTTCATTTATCATTTTATTACTGACTTGGTTGTTGGAGTACTAAATTTATAGGCTCACCCACTACTAAAAAAACACATTTAACATCGGACGTGAAATGCATTTAACCTCAGCTACGTTAGCGAGGTAATGAAGGGCATCATGAAAAACTATCTCTTAAACCCTCAGTTATAAACTAGGGGTCAAATTATCTGTGCATGGGTTTGATCCCCAACTGCATTTTCATTATTTTCGAAACTAGACGGCGCACCCAATATTAACTCTAGGTATTGTGTATAACCGAAGTAATAGGTATAACCGAAGTAATAGATCAATGTTATTACCTCGGTTTTAGATAAAAAATTGAGGGGGTAATTGTTTTTAGTGCTGTCGTATGCACTTGTATTACATAACCATATTTTTTAAATTACTGGAATAAAAATATTTTACCAATTTCTCAATCTGAAACATTGTACAACAAATATTCATTGTTTACACCAAATGCAAACCTAAAATGTCATGTGTTTTATAATTTTACAACAAAACTAAAAAAATGGTTAACCAACAAAAGCAATAACCAAATTGAAAAGTTGTAGGTTGTCCAATAAAATTTGTCACTGGTCGTTAAGCACCTATAATTTAAACAACATTTGAAACCAGTTAGAATAATTAACAACAACCTCACATTTATATTACAAGGAATACAAAAGAGTTAAATGAATAATTATAAATTACTAAGCGATATAAAATATTTACTTACTAGTTTTTCCATATCCCCTCTTCATGATCACAACAAATAACATGCACATCATCTGAATCATTTTCTTCAGATGATTGTCGTACATGTGTTTCTAAACAAGGTGTCTCATAGTTCAAATCTTGATTTTCATCATTACTATCAGGAAGATGTTTTCCTTGAAGAATAATTGACCTTATAGTGTTAGCAATATCAATGACATAAAAAAACTTGTTTTGCTTGGATTGCCATGATGAATTGATCGTTCTTATAAGTTGGCTTTCGAAGATCAACACGTGTGAATCCTAAATCTTCAGTTTCTACACCAATGTTGTTGTCATTCCACTAATATAAGGCACTTTAAAATCAACATAGTCAATCTCCGATATCTTCTCAATGACCCCAAAGTACGCTCTAGATGCTAGTACATGATTGTTATCTTTAGAATTAGAAAAGTGCATGGATTCAGCCTTAACCATAACTCCACTATTTTGCATGGTGCTACGATCATCCTTTGATTTTGTATAGAATAAATATTTAGTAATGCCATATGCACTCCAAGTAGTTACATTAAACTTAGGCATACGTGAAAACCATTTAATTATATCTGATGCACTACTCTCTTTAGATAGACTTTCATTAAATCGAGTTACAAAAGTTTTGCTATGCTCTTTCAACAACCATCTTTCATTCATCCTGAAATATTTTTCCTTTATAAGACTTTTGTGAGCAGTCAAGTAAGGTTGAATTTCACTAAGGTTATTCAATATATACAAATAGGCCTGAAGAACTACTTATCGTTCAAATTTCTTAATATTTAAACCTTGAATACCTCTACCATCATAATATCCATCACGAAGAGACCCAAGAATTTCTATAGAGTTCGCTTTTGACAAATAATTTATACAAAACTCAATATCTTCTTTTGTGATGTATGTTTCAATGATCGAAGCCTTTAGACGATGAAGATTCTTTGTATACCCTTTAAAAATCCTCATGTACCACTCTACCAGATACATCCATCGTAAATAAACTGGATCATAAATTCTAATCTCTCCTACAAGATGAATAACTAAGTGAACCATAATGTCAAAGAATGATGAAGGAAAAAACATCTCTAATTGACATAAGATAATTGCAGGTTCATGTTTCAAGTCGTCTAATGTTCCAAGATCAACAACTTTACTACATATAGAATTGAAGAATAAGTACAGTTTGATTATAGTTACCCTTACATTTCATGGTAAGATTCCACAGATAGCTGCTCCTAGAAGTTATTGCATTAAGATATGAAAATCATGAGATTTTAAGCCAACTAACTTGAGATCATTCATTGACATAAGTTTCTTCATATTTGATGAGTTCTCTTAGGGAACTTTGATACCATGAAAACATTCGCAAAAACCTTTTTTTTCTTTTTTATCCAGAGTGTGACATGCTGGGGGTAAATAGGCTCTATTTCCTATTTATTTTGGGGTTAACTCTTGCGGTATATCTATCACAACCATATTTTCACGGGATTTCTTAGTATATTTTGTCTTGCCTTTAATCTTGAGAAGTGGTCCAACCAAACTATCGCATACATTTTTCTCCACATGTATCACATCAAGATAATATCTTACATCTAGACTAGACCAGTATGGAAGATCAAAGAACACTGGCCTCTTTTTCCAAATATTTTTCTCTGCGAGTTTTTGTTTTTGTTTTTTTCTAAAGAAAACATTAATGTGTTGTTGTCTTTTTTAAACTTCCTTCCCGGTTAAGGGAATTGGAGCAATACCAAACTCCTGCTCTCCATTAAAAGCCTTACGTAATCTACGACATGGATGATTAGATCTTAGAAATTTTCAATTTCCAAGATAAACTATCTTTTTCCTCTTTTTAATTGGCAGTGACATGTATCAAATTTACATATAGGACACGCTTTATGTCCCTTGACATTGTACTCAGACAAACTACCATATGCAGGAAAGTCATTGATTGTGTAAACAACATGGCACTCAACTTAAAGTTATCACTTATATACACATCATCAACTCAACATATTCCTTCATCAAAAGTCTTAAATCTTAAACCAACGGCGTTAAATAAACATCTATGTGGTTCCCTGGTTGTCTTGGACTCGAAATCATCATTGATAGCATCATATACTTGTGCTTCATGCACAACCATGAAGATAGGTTATAAATTACGAGAAGAACATGCTATGACGTATGGTTAGTACTCAAATTATCAAAATGATTCATTTCTTCGGTGGCAAGTCCAAGCCTAAGGTTACTCGGTTCAAGGGTAAAATCTAGCAACAAGGAATCAATTTTCTTCCATTACAATAAATCAGCTACATGGAGAACTTTTCCATCATACAATATTTCATTTGTATGTCATCTAGTATTCTCGGTGTCATTAACATTAGAAAAAAATCTATTGAACCTTGGAATTATCAGTAGGTACCACATCACCTTGGAAGGAACACCCTTTCTAGTTACACCATCGTCATCATCAACACCACTGTCCTTCTGCTTGTAGTGTGACTCTCTACACCTCGGACACTCATTCAAGTTTTCAAACTCTTTCCTATATAAGATGCAATCATTATGACATGCATATATTTTGACTTAGCCCAAACCCATTGGAAACAATATCTTATTGGCCTCATAAATACGGTTCAGCAACGTGTTACCTTTGGGAAGCATTTCTTTCAATAATTCAAGCAATTCAGTGAAACTTTTATCCATCCACTCACCTCTTGCCTTAAGATTAAATAGTCTTAACACAAATAACATTCTTGTAAATATTTGACATCCCGCATACAACTAATTTTCCATGTCTCTTTGCAAAGTCTCCACCACATTAGCTTTCTTGAAAGTATCTAATCCAATATCATGAATCACGTCTCATAGAGTATCATTCATAAATTATTTGCGTTATCTACCAACTACTCCTGGTCATCTATGCGTTATCCACGTGGAGGAAATATTCAAACATAAAGGGTGAGTAATCATGATTCATTATAAAAGATATAAGGAAAAGATTAATAATTATAAACAACATCATCATACAATCAATATACATCATTCATCAACATTTTATACTCACTGACACATTACAATAGCACTTAACATCCTTCTTCATAAATTCTCATATATTCAAATAGTTCACAATTATTAGCAAATCACAACGCATCAACATAATTCATGCAATGTCACATAGAATGCTAATGCAACAAAACTGACACAATCCATGTGGTACTAAAATTTATGAGCACATGGTGCATAACCCTCCATAGATCCCCACCATAGGATCAATTCGATCTTGGAACTGGAGCACAACATAAATCACTATCATCATCATAGGTAATGCTTAACTAAATTCCCAACAAGGACTTAGCTACTCACACCCGATCCACACAATGGGATTGAGGCTCAACATGGGCGGACCAACGTCCAAAAATGCTATCAATGCATGATGAACAACAATGTCATATATATTAATTCGACCACAACTAGTCAAGAGCATCATCATTCACATAATCATCATATAATCATTCTCCATGTAGCATGTATACATATTAACAAGCACATCATTCGAACATCATCCCAAACAACATCAATTATGTCA